ATATATATATATATATATGATATACCTTCACAAACTCATTTAACGTAATCCCCATACTCGAAGCACGATTTTGTCTTCCATCATCCTATTTGGTAAATGCACAACACAATTTGAATCGTTAATACCAACCGTTGTACCAAATCACACATTATCGATATATCTTTATTTTTTCTTCTTTACAGTACCTGAGGCTAGTGGATGGAGAATTGCAACCTATATCGAATCCGTGATTTTTGCCCTCATCATCATCGTGTGCACCATCATCATTTGCTGCAAAAGGTATCCGAAGAAAGCCTAATTCTAGAACTTACCATATGATAACTTTAAACTTATTTGACGTTGACAAATTTTATGCAATATAAAAGAAATGAATGAATAACATTGCAGGCATTTGTATTTTAACTGACGTTTATATTTAATTTTTATGTTTAATATATTTTTTACTTAATGAAACAGCTTCAGAAAACAACTATTCTGAAGATCACAAGAAAAAGTTGGGCCAATTGTTTTAATTTTTTTAAAACATATAATGATTTTTTTAAATATTTAAGCTATTTGTGCTTTCTTAAACCCAGATGCGATAATGGCAAGATAGAATACATAGTTTAAAATTTACACTTTTCTTATAGTTTAAGACAGTTAACAGTTAATAATAATGCCTTTTTTTTCTCAAAAAATCTTTAAAAAATATCTTAATGAGGGAGGAAATGATTACAATAACAATAACGGAAAATATTAGATAGGTTAAAAACTGGGTTGCCATAATGGTAAAAGAAACTTAATGGTAAGAAAGGAAACTTAGAATAATTTTAATAACAAAGCGGCATAACCTGCTTCTTAAAAATTTCATCGGAAAAATTATCTCGTTGGCTTCCAGCTTACTAGTCAGTATAATTTCTATGAATCGGAATATATTACAGTTTCTTTTTCGATATTTTCCTTGATTTCCAATTGCTTCTCACACCATTTAACTGAGGTTAATTCTTCGCTCCAACAATAAATAAACTTTTCAAAAAGCTCAATTTCGATTACTGCAACCATGTTCATTTACAGACACTTCTTTTACAGTGGACAAGATGAAAGGTTGCAACGCCATTGAATCTCATCTTCGATGTGCAATTTCATTTCATGATTCTTATCAGAAATTGCGATTTCAGCCAAAACACCTTTCTCTTGAAAGAACCTGACAGCTTCTTTCTCTGTTTTGGGCAAATCCCAAATTTTCATTGCTTTTTGCGTAAATTTTTCGGATTAAGAAAAAGACGTGACTGATGAGGGGGAAATGACAGCTTGCTTTGAAAATGTGGAGACAAAAGGTTACCAGAAGCGAGATTCCGTTTGACTTTGGATGCATCATTATTAGCGGCTTTATCACCTGCTCCGGTGTAATGGAAAAGTACCAAATATTTCAAGCATTTCATTTTTTTTTTTAAAGATAGCATTTGTGATGTTTCTTATCTTCCAATCCATCCAATCAAAAAAGAAGTTTATTGCACGTCTTTCAATGTCTAAATATATTTTTAATTTTTATGTCAGATTCCCTCATTGGGTGCTTGCACTTCGAGAAGAAGATCCCAAAAAATACCGTATAGCACATCGAAATTGCTTAAATATAATTTCTTCTCATCTACGTCTTTTTATTATTTTACCTAATAATAGGGGAAAATATTTTGGCTTGTAAGGTATACAATGTTTCGCCTCATTTTTAAGTATCTAATTTTACATGGCAAAATAGAAAATTTGAGCGAAATCGGTTGAATAGCTCCTGAGAAATTAAATTTTAAAATAGTCCGTTATTTAAAATTTGATTTCTCTTGATTTATTCAACCGATTTCGTTCAAAATCTATAATTTTTTCCATGTAAAATTAGATACTTCAAAATGATGTAAAAAATTTTATACCTTACTTTTCAAAATTTTTTAGAATACATTTCAAATGCATTTCTTACAGAATACATTTTTAGAATACAGTACATTTCAAAACTTAAATAAAATAATAAAAAAGGATAAATATTTACTAAAATTTATTTTTTGCATGGAATTATCTTCGGATAAATGAATATTGTATTTGTGTGTAAGAAATTATTAGTTAACTCAAAAAGTTCTCGAGATATGGTAAAATACTCGAAAAATAAGAATAACATGAAAAGGTCCAAACCTTTTTTATTTTATTTTTATAACCGTCGTTGAACAGCCGACCCAATTTCATGGATTTACGACTACTTACGTTCCACTCCGTAGCCTTTTAATTTTGAACCAATCCAGAAGACAAGGAAACTCCTGGATCAGTACCCCCAGAGGTATTGATTTGTTGGGGGAACCTGGAGGACTTTGAGACTCGACAGAATTAACGTGCATCAGTCACCATTTACTACACGGGGAGTCTTCGGCCGGCGAGGATCGAACCCACGACCTCTTGGATATGGGCCCAGCGCCCTACCGACCAGGCTATCCCGGCCCTGGTCCAAACCTTTGACCACTCTCCTGACCAAACTATTAGGACTATATTTTCCAGATTGCGGCTACATCCTATATTTTGGACATCAAAAATCGGAATCCGCAGGAAAAAAGGTTCAGTGAAAGTATGTTTTTGAGTCTGATTTCGTTATTGTCTGTACTAATTAAAGAGTAAATTTGAGGTCACCCCCTTAAGCCAGTATGATTGAGTCCTAAAACGGGAAAATTCGATCATTAGGGATTAAACGATATTCAGCGTGGTTCGTTTTTTTCCGCTTTGTACATTACCACCATAGTCAAAATGAAAAGTATGGAATATATTTATAAAATTGTAACAGAAATTTCCATTTCTTTTTCAGAATGTCTGATTAGTAAATAAATTTGCTTCAAGAATGTCCTTTTACTACCCGATCTGTTTGAACAACTAAGAAACTCATATTTGTCTAAGACACAAAATTCAATAAATTATTAGAAATAAGAAGAAGGATTTCATTTTTTTCATTTTTTTTTCTTCTTAATTTTGTTCATTCTCAGAAGGTTACAGTTGAAAAAGAAAAAGCGCAAGACCACTTTTCATCAGCTCTCATGATAAGCTGAGACCACTAAAAATCGCTGTACCATTTTCAATCAAAATGTTAGAAGTAATATGATAAAAAATAACAATGCCAATGTTATTCGAAATAACACATCTTGAACTACAAATATTTTTTCATACGGTTTTTTTCCTTCTCGTGGTTGCCTGGCTTAAAGTAGTAGTACAGTATACGCTTCGCATCTCAGAGAGTGAAAGAATAAATCTACTGCAAACGCTTTTCATTGACTGAAGTGGGGTTAAGTTCCGATTCAGGTAAAGTATAACAGAGAATAAATCTACTGTAAGCGTTTTTCATAAACTAAAGTGGGATTAAGTTCTGATTCAGGTGAAGTATAACAGAGAATAAATCTATTGCAAACGTTTTTCATAAACTAAAGTGGGATTAAGTTCCGATTCAGGTGAAGTATAACAGAGAATAAATCTACTGCAAACATTTTTCATAAACTGAAGTGGGATAAGGTTCCGATTCAGGTGAAGTATAACAGAGAATATATCTAATGCAAACGTTTTTCATAAACTAAAGTGGGATTAAGTTCCGATTCAGGTGAAGTACAACGGAGAATAAATCTAATGCAAACGTTTTTCATGAACTAAAGTGGGATTAAGTTCCGATTCAGGTGAAGTATAACAGAGAATAAATCTAATGCAAACGTTTTTCATAAACTAAAGTGGGATTAAGTTCCGATTTAGGTGAAGTATAACAGAGAATAAATCTAATGCAAGCGTTTTTCATGAACTAAAATGGGATTAAGTTCCGATTCAGGTGAAGTATAACAGAGAATAAATCTAATGCAAACGTTTTTCATAAACTGAAGTGGGATTAAGTTCCGATTCAGGTGAAGTATAACAAAGAATAAAGACAATATTTCAAAATTAAACAGATCCCCCGACGCATTTCGGAAAACATTGAAAATATTCATGACATTTTTATTTAAACCAATAAAAATAATAGTTACATCCAAACTCAGTACAAATCTCAAGATAAATTTCTCGACAACAGGCGTCAGCTGTCAACAGCTATGAAATATTAAAGATGAAATTATTCCTCCGAAAATAGCCCATTTCAAAAAATTTACATTTCTCGTTTTAGTTTAATCAAAACACTGAATGCAAAGGTGTTCTCTCCTTTTTTTTACTTTCATTTATTTAAGTATTATAATTTATTTTATTTTATTTTTTTAAATTTAACTTGTGACATGAAGATATAATAAATTTCGCAGGAAAAGTAACATCATAAAAATGTTCCGAAACGTATTCCTCAAGGAAAAAAAAATTCTTTATTTAAAGTAAAGCAACCTCTGGAAAAAATATCTGTCTGCATCTCTGCTTATACAAAATCTCGTATGTTAGTTTTTTGTGCAGCTGTGCGTTGAAGATAATAACAAATTTAAAAATATCCCTATCATGATAATACGTAAATATATCGAAACAAAATATTAAAAAAATACCCTCTTAATCGCCTAAGTCCATTTTAAAGTTCTAAGTCAACAACAGAAATATAAACTGTAAAAAAAAAATTATCGCCTCAAAAAATAACTATGGTAACTTTTGCATTTCTTAGTAACCTCGTGAGGATACCTACTCAAGCAAGTCTAAATGAGGCCAAACTATAGTCTAAACTAAACCTATAGCCATTCATCTGGACAAGGAGCGATGACTATAGTAACGAGGTATAACTATTACAAGTAAGAGTGTTGGGTCATTGCTTAGGACAGGTTTTGACTCGTGTCGGAGAGAGAAGGAGAATTTTTTTCCTCGGTGTACTTTGTTAGTCCTAGAGTGAAAAGAAGCTACCCTCCCTGAATGCGCTATTCTTGTTTCCATAGCAGCAGACGGCTTCGGACTTTGTAGCGGGGGGAGTTCTTATCGTAGAAAAACTATACCTCGACAAATTTTTTCCTATTCGTAAATGGTGGTTCTAGGCACTGATTTTATTCCGCTCTCACACCTCTCGCTTTCCCACCCACCCCTAATTTTTTTTTTAAATTCATAATTGTTAGTACGGTTTAAGCAACCTTATAATATTTGCTCAATCCTAATAAAAAAAAAATTTCGAAAATCTTTCCTTACTTGTAACCCAATGTTTAACTGTTACGAGTAATATTTCAAATAACAAATAAATTCTTTACAAAAGGGTCTTTTTTTCCTGTCTTTAAAATGGAAGATATATGTTTCTTAAATACTCTTTCACACAGATTACCCTAAATTTAACAAGTTCTTAGTTCTTCTTCTTCATTAGTACTACAGCTCAGCCTAGGCCAAGAAGTCTCCTACTAAGTCTGCTTCCTTACCTGTTCACTTCCAAAACCCCCTCTGCGCTGTCCAGTCACCTCGTACGGTGTGTGCCTCTTCGTCTTGTATCCGCTGAGTCTAGATCTAAGCATCCAAAAATGTATCCCAGAGGAGAAAAATTTCCGGTGTATTGCTCAGTTTATGCTGCGAAATGATGTGTGAACTGGCTCAAAATCCTAGGAAGATTTATTGTAAAGCTTAGTAATTGGGCACGTAATTTCGCCATTCATAATTTTTTTTCTGTATTTCATAAGCTGTAAAAGATGCTGGGTTATGTATCGGTTTAAGGAAATTAATATCACAATATAAATGAAAAGTAAAGTTAACCATGTTTTGATTGTCATCCTTAAAGTTTAGTTGCAAAATTGAGTGCCAAATTGACGCAGAAACCGGAAGTCTTATTACAAATTTTAACCTCACGTGATTTTTGCGCCGAGCTTTCAATAATTTATCATCCATAGAACATGAAGACAGATTAGATTTTTCAGAATTTTGAATAATTTTGATCAGAAATAAAAAAATAAATGAATTAGAAAAGATAGAAAGTAAAGCGTAGAATTTTAAATTTGAAATATAATTTTAAAAAATGGCAAAATATAATTGCAATCACAAAAATAACTCCAAATTTCATTTTAAAATGTGGGGGAGTGAGAAAATTATTAAAGGAAATACCTAACTATATATATNGCATCCTGCTCGCTACCGCTCGCCAACCCCCGATAATTGCTACGCAATTACATTTTTGTTTGCTTCGCGAACAAAATTAAAGTCGTCTTCCTGGAGATTAGCTGACAATTTTTCTGCACCTACATCACATAGAGAGAATATGATATGATTGTAAAATGTCAGAGGTGCTTATTATCAGCATAATTAACTTATATAAAGCAATCTTAATACAAACAATATTATAAGCTTATATAAAGTGAGGAAGCAATATTATTTAACACATTACTATAGGGCATTAGCCGGAGATTAATCTCCGTATCCGAAGCACGCGTGTCAGAGCCTAATAACTCAAATCATTGATCTTATAGGATGCCGGAAGTTCCCGATATGGAGACATCTAAGACATTTCTATGAAAGATATTTCTATCTAAGACATTTATCTGAATTTCTACTCGACAATGCTGAATCACTGTCCTGGATATAAATTTGAGCAATATTGTGATTATGATTATTAGGTGGGATCAAGCTTGTTGTCGCAGTAACATTGACATCACCTTTAAAAGTAAGACAACTGATCCCTTTAAAAGAAATTTCATGAGATGGCCAAAAAGTTACCATCGCAAATGCAGAGTTGTACATTCGAACATTCTGTTTAAGGTTAATTGCATCAGAATGGCTGCCAAGTAAAAGATCTTTTAATATTTCTGGATATTCCACATTGGCGAGCTCAACTTTGCCATGATGGCAGCAATTAAATTTCGTTCTGCCATGCTCTGCTGGAAACAAAAGAGCACCACAGTTTACACATTCATCACTGAGTGTTCCAACGGAAAAAGGGGGTATAATGTCTTAAAGATATTATGTGAGATGATGAAGGGATAGCACTGATACAGACTCACCAAGGTATTTGTTTTCATTTAAACATCTTGACTCTTCAACATTTCCTCGCCGCGCATTCCGCCGTCGCGTGTTGATAGCACTATGATTATTTTCCAGCTGCTAAATTTTGTTCAGCTCTATGGCGCTGTTGATATCGCCCAAGATATTCACGGCGACCGTTTTTTATAAAAGATATAAGTTTTTTAAAATAAACTCTATTCAATATATTTTGATAATTTGGAATGTAAATAGTTTCTTTAGAGAGTTTTGATTCGTGCTTCCAATAACTCTACCAGATTTATCAAAGCTATTAAAATATATTGGAATTCTAAAATAAATAACTGCTTTCTATCAAAACAAACATTCTATTATAAAACTTCAGAACAACTATCTTTTTACATTTCCACTCAAAATCATTAATAAACACTGGATAATATTGCGTTAATGACACTTTTATCTAATGACGTCATAAGCAATCGTTTGCATAAAGTTTAGTTCATAATAGTTCATAATAATCATATATAATCGCTTGCATAAGTAATCGTTCGGTCTTTTTGTAGCTTTACGTAACAAGTGTGAGATTTTTTTTTCTTTTTCGGAATGGCGATGTTATAATTTTGTTGTTGAGTTAATATATCTTCCTTTTTATGAGCGTAATAGTAGAGTTTTCTTAATTATTTGATGCGAAGTCCTCTGAGTTTTATTTGAGGTCAGTTTGCATTTTGTATTTTTTGACAGCATTATTAAAAATTATTACCTTTTCACACACATGCGTTCTCAATTTTGATTGACTGTTTTGTGCGTTACTAACCAGAAGTCTTCTGTGATTGGCTATGTGTTATCATTCCACTCTCTTCTTATATATAAAGATGTATAGGAATGCAAAAAAAAATCTGAGTATCTGTCATATTAGAAATCAAGCTTCTTGGTATCTTGGGTAAACACTGTAATGCATCCTCAATAATCAAATACAAATTTTTTTGTCTTCAAATAACTTAAAGTGATACTTATAAATATTTATTAGAGTATTTACTTAACATTT